CAACAGGCATCAAATCCACCACCGCTGACTTCTGGCATGAGGAGAATGAAAGGTATTGGCATTTCTACTCCAAACTTGGTGGGTCTTCAACGATCTACAGTTATGCCAGAAACAGAAGGGAGACCAGGTCTGACTGCTGCGAGCCTGTTGAATGCAGGAAGTGCAACTCCACTGCAAAGAGGAGTTCAGAGAACCAGTAGCAGAATGGTCATGTCAACCAGCAGCAGCAAGCTTGGTGGTATTGGTGTCTCAGCACCCACGCTTCAAAACATGATGCGATCATCAAATCAGTTGGAGTCGGCCTCCAAGAATGCACAATGGAACGCCAAGCCTTCTCTCTTGTCGATAGTGGGACAGGGCAGCCCATTGCTGCAACAAGCTGTGGAGAGAACTAGTAGTCGTACAACTGCAATCGGCAGTGTGAACAAGCTCGGCGGCATTGGTGTCTCAGCCCCCAATCTGGCTGGGCTTCAACAGCGAACAGCTTTGGCCACACCTTCTGCACCACATTGCTCGCAGTCGTCGTCCCATCCATCATCTCGTCCACAAGGGCCAGTATTGTCAATGATGCCTATGGTGACTTCCAGTAAACCAGCCCCTTCGCATCCAGTGGCATCCTCTCGGTGGGATAATGCTTCAGATTTTGATGGAGGTCACCGTTTTTCAAACAATGAGAATGGTGCCATGAAGCAATCCGGTATACCAAATTTAACCGGGTCACGCCGAAAACCAAGCTCGCCTTCAAGTACGAAGATGAAAATGAATAGTGTACTTGGAGCATCAGCTCCCGACCTCACGAGCCCGACACGAGTTTACTCGGTTCCGCTTGACAATTTCTCCAATGCGGAATGGGAGCCGAGGTCTACGCGAAAGAAGCAATCCAGCAGTTCGAAGAGAGGTGATCAGTTGGGGCCAGAAACAGTTTTGGACCAAGGGGCCTTGACAATGGACAACACCTCCGGTCATTCTGCAAGTCGGTGGGAGACTGGGAGCACAGGAAACCTTTCGGGAGGCGATCAATGGTCAACCACAAAACTACACCCCAAGAAAGGCCCCAGAACCCGAACTCGCAGAAGGAAGAAGAAACGGGCAAATAAGAAGAACGCTGATAGCGCCCCTCCTCAGGTCAGACGTTCACTGACAAACGAGGAGCCCCGAACGGCAGAAGCAATTGATGAAACTATCCCAGCAACGGGCGATGCACCTCCTCAAAAGGTTGAGAGATCCGCCACCAGCGAATCCATTGAAAACAGAGAACTGGTGACTGAAGCTGAAAGAAGAGAACTGGTGACTGAAGTTGCTGGCTTGATGCAAGAAGTCACCGAGTTTGTCACAGCCGAGCTACAAGCTCACGCCGAGACAGGGGAATCCCCGGTCGCACACGCGACAGCTAGCCTTGCAGCTCTTGAAATCACACGGTGTGCTCGCATGGCGTTTCGCCGGGAGCGAAGCGACCGCAGCCTTGGAGGGAAAAACAGCAGCCACCACAAAGATGGTGATCTTGACAACTCAAACCCGTCAAACCTTGGTTGTAGAGAGACCATCCCAGAGCATCCTCATCATTTCAGCGATGAAAGTGTTGATACAGCATCTGAAGCCTACGATGATTTCCACGAGGGTTTTTTGCCTGTAAGGGAATATAACAGCCACACCCACTCCCATGGTCTGCAGCCTGGCCATGGCCATGATGTTGGGGTGCTTGCTGGTTGGGCTGACGAAGCATCGGGAGGTTCCTTTGTGGAAAGCAGTTACGTACATGATCATCACCATGAGCATTGTCGCGTGGAGGGAATACCTTGCTCTGAGGAAGGTTGTGATAAGATGCTCAAAGCACCTGTCAGGCACAACAGCGGCGCTAGCGAAAGACGTGGTTCTATCAACGAAGACGAAGATGTTGCCGCCGTCTTGGATTCGTTGGCAACGGCTGCTCCTAGCGCTGCATCGACCGGCCCTATGAAGCCTGTGCGACGTGCCAGCATGGGCACAGACGACGGCCTACATGCTAGTTTGTCGGGATTCCATCAATCGCGCGACTGTAAACAGAACGGCGAGGACACAAAAGTTGAAAGAAGGTCAGCTCGCACGAACGCTGCAGTCCGATTGCCAAAGCGGAAGCTTAGTACGGATTCCACCACGAGTTCTACGTGTGGTCCACCAGTAGCCAACGTCCACGGGGATAGTTTGGTGATTCCTGACGATTGCAGTGAAATTACAATGCCGGCTGTTTGCGCTGCGTCTGTTTGGAACTACCCCTCGAGCGCGACCTCCGAGAGGAGCGAAATGCCAATGTCGCCAGGGAGGATGGGGGCCCTCACCAAGCTTTTGCCTGATCTCACAGCGAACGCCATGCCTTTCCCCTCTGTTCCATTGTCCATTGCAACCGAGACTAGAAAAGGCCTCTCGAATGTGGATGCGTTGAAGGCAAAATCTGGCCCAATGGGAGATGATAGCAGGAAGAGCTCGAGCTCAATCCAGATGGGCGATGGTAGCAGCAAGACGCGACGCTCCTCGGGTGGTTCGCTCAATCTTTTCGAAGACATCACCGACGGTGTTCTGTCGATGATTGCAACTGGTGCTTGCTATCAACCGAATCCGACGGATTTATTAGGTGGTCGTACTGATAGTGTGGACCAGGAGACGGAGATGGAGATGGGTGAAAGGTACACTGAACCCGCAGTCGTTCAGCATTCTGGAGAAAGCACGTGCGAGGATCCAGCACAGGACTCAGGGGAGGAATCCGGAGAACGCCAGAAAACCAGACCCAAACCCTTGTTTGCGATCCATACAAGTGGCTTTTCTGCTGGTGAAATATCAACAAAAGAAGTATTACCGAAGCAGCAATCTTTGTTCGCCATCGATGCAGAGGACATGGACACAGCAAAGGCAAAAGCAGAAGAATCAAAGTCCTCCCCCCCACCATTGTTTGCTATCAGCACAGTTACACCGAACACCTCAGCTGAAGAAAGCAAACCCAAGCCCGCACCATTGTTTGCAATCAATGATGTCTTCACCATAAAGAAATCAGAAGAAACAACGAAACCTCTGTTTGCGCTTGCGGCGACGGAAACACCACCAAAAGATTCAAAACCTACACCAAAGCCTTTGTTTTCTTTGGAGCCGACAGATGCCGCTGAAGCCACGGCAACAAAACCAAGACCACTGTTTGCGCTTGCGCCATCCGTCGGAGAAGACATGGGAGAAGCCAAAGCAAACCAAAAACGTTCTCTTCCTGCACGTCTACCAAGCAGCAATACGAGCCCCCTTCTCCAGCAGTGCTGAGAGATGGTGCTGTTGTGTGAATAGATATGCAGTGAAAGTTCACTGCCTTTCATAACTTAATAGAAAAATCTGCTCTTGTACTTATAGATTCTTTTAGAACGATATTGGGTAGGAAAGGTTTTGTAACAGACGCAGTCATTTGCTAGCTGAGGGAAACTTTGACACCTTCCAAGTTCACACAGAGCACAACGCCGGCTTTGGCTCGCCTCCGGGTCCAACACCTACGAAACAATGATCCACAGTTTCTCCGCTCGACTCGCACCAAGACAACTGAATATTGGCCAACACACGACACGCTCACAACATACCGTACGTATACACAGCTGCACACATCACTACATCCGCCGCCACAATGAAATCTGCAATGATCTCGGTTCTATTGCATGTGAATGATTTGGTTCCTCTAGGGTTCTGTCGGGACCACCCCTTCCTGATGTTCCGGCCCTCACCATCCCTGCCGGTCACCCTATTTCCAACCTTGCCCCACAGCTGGCTTCTCGCATGCACCAACCGGTACCGTACTGTTTCAGGCTCAGCTAGGCGGTGGCTAGTTTCGCCCCCCTTGCTTTAAAAAAAGTCTGATCTGATCTCAATAATCAAAGCAGTTAGGCAGAAACTATTATAGCAAACTCATCACCCAGCCAAGCAAGAACAGTCACAAATGCGGAAGAACAATCGGGACAAGATGCACAGCCTCCAGAGCTCACTCGTACATTCTACAAAAATTCCATGACATCTTCGTCCATGCCGTTGTGCTGCTGTGGATGATGATGATGCGGATGCATCGGGTGTGGCTGATTCGGCACTTGATGGGGATTCATTTGATAAGGATTGTGATCATGATGCATCGGGTGTGCGTGCTGGTGATGATCATGGTGCAGTGGATTAAAGCCGTCACCTGGAGCACCCAGAGGAGGAACATGGTGATGATGATGATGAACTATCTGGGGCGCAGATGGATGTACCGGCTGCTGCTGAGCTTGAGCACCAAGTGGGGGTGGGTCTTGTGGCTGCCGCTGCTGCTGTTGAAGTGGAGGGGGCTGCTGCGGCATTGGTTGCTGAGGTGGTTGATGCATCTGGGGCTGCGGCTGCACCTCATGGTGTTGCTGCGGTTGTTGCGGAGGTGGGGCCGGTGCGTGCGGCGGTGGAGCATGAGGTGCTTGGGCTGCGGCCTCCACAAGAACAGGTTGTGGCATGGCACCAGCGGGATTGTCGTTCTCGTTGTGGACCACATCGTTCGTCTCAGCTCGAAGGTTTTTGTTGCCTTCGGGATCGAGCTTGTCGGCCTCATTGATTTCTTGTGCGGGGTCAAGATGATGTATGGCTGCGGCGATGCTCGCAGCTGGGGAGCCCTTTGCAATGCCCACAGTAACTTTGCGCTTGAAGTTGGGGGCTACCCAGGAAAAGCCAATAGTGTTGAGTTTTTCCACGCGTTCATCTGTTAGCTGCGACTTTAGCCCACGAAGGCGTAGCGAATACTCGCTCCGTTGCTTCAGAGTAATGTTTTTCAATCGATTCAATCATTGGATTAGCCTTCATAACAACAGACTGCTTGATTTCGAACATGAAGCAATAACTTACTTTCATCACCCAACGCCCGAATGCCTTGTCTTGCGGATAATATTGAGGGACATTCACATCTCCGTGGTGGATTTTGGCGTACTCCAGCAACTGGTTGTATCGATTGTCCCACCCGGTGACAGGGGCTGCCACACGCCATTGGAACCCAATCGAGGTGAGCTTTTCGATTCGGTCAGGTGCCAAGCACGGCTTTGGTTTTGTTCTCGTTGGAAGCCTTCCAGCAGCCTTGAGATCTGCTTCGCGCTTGTTTTCTCGTTGAATCTTCACCCACTGACCAAGGCTTGTCGATTGGGGCACATTGCAGTGGCCTGAACACAACAAACAAAAAGCGCAGCCGTGAGTGCACTATCTCTGCTTCTGACAAAAGATATGTAGCTCCTTGAGTGAGCCTTCTTACCATTTTCTTCTTTCCACTTTTTCAGTTCTTCAAATCGCTGTAGACAACACGGCATCCCAACGAGGTCATTGTAAGCCACCAAGTCGAAAATGCGCCACAACAAAGACAACGTAGCAGGATCTTGACGGTTTACGTACCTGATTCCAACGGCGACCATTCTCATGCAGCATGGTATCCCATATGAATCCCAAGCTGTTCAAGACCTGGATGCGTTCTTCGCTCAGTTCATGACATTGATGATAGGTGATCTTTCTTCGTTGCAGCTTACTATATTCCTGTCGCTGTTTGGTGACCCACTTGCCAAGTTTCGTGTTGTTTGGAACGTGGAATGTCCCTAGCTTGGCTTTGAATGCCATCAGGGCAAAGAACATGTCGTTCCAACTTGCATTGTAATTGCTAATGCTTCTCTTCTTGTTGAGACTTCCAGGTTTCCGACCCGGTTTTTTCTTGTCCGGGTCGTCCGTGGCATTTTCTGCCGCATCGTTCTCTTCTCCATCCGCAGTTTCCGTAGCGGCGGCAGCGTCAGGAGGAGGGGCGGCGACCGCTGTACCATCGTTTGTTTTGAGTTTTTTGTCGGTCGGCGAGTCCTCTGTCGAGACATCCTCACTAACAGCAGCAGCAGGTCGCTTCTTTTCCGACTCTTCTTGGTCGTTATTAGTACTTTCGTTCACAGGAGTGGCTGTAGGAACTTCCTTTGGCGGGGAAACGGCAGGCTCCTCCTCATTTGCGCCTTTTTGCTCCAAGGAAGCTGCGCCTTTTTGCTCCAAAGTAGCTGTAGTAGCAGTCCCTTCTGAATCCAAAGTAGCTGTAGTGGCAGTCCCTTCTGGTTCCAAATTAGTTGAGGCGCCAGCACCCGTATCAAAGGAGGCGTTGAGGGCCGATATGGCGACAGAAGCGGCAGCCGCCACGAGTTCACCTGCATGAGGCGTAGGTTGCATGTCTTGTTGCTGGGATTGGTCCTGTGGTTCGGAATTCGATACCTGAATCGGCGGCGCAGCTGGAGGAAGAGGGGCTTGCTGCTGCTGCTGTTGTGGCATTCCATATGGCTCGTTTTGATCTTCCCCTGCCTTGGCGGGTTCTGGCAGTTGGAGAGATTGACCCTGGACTTGGATGGTCTGATGCTGCAACGATGCCATTGGGTGGTGTTGCTGATGCTGATGATGCTCGTGTGTCGTGAGGTGCTGGCTGACAGTAGTCCCAAAATCCACAGGAGCCGGAGCCCCCATGTTCACAGGAGTTGGATTGACATCCATCATGTCCAAAATGGCATTTCCGCCCGCTCAAGTATGCAAGGTGCGAAGATGCGAGCAGAGCTGCCGAACCTGGAAGCTAGACTACCAGGACCAGGTACAGTACCTGGATGCCTTTGCCCTCGTCATCATGGTGTTGGGTGGGTCCCCACAGCTGTCCCCTAAACTGATACCAGTGATCTCCAATCGGAGAAGCTTGCTACTTTTGCTTGTGTTTACCGGTGTAATGGTTGCCGGTATTGATGAACCGAACAGGTGTACGCTCCATAAATCTTACAAGGGCCTTCCTTCTTTTCTCCTTCCCTATTCTTCTCTTCACAGGTACTGCATCAAGTTGCAAGGACTATGAGTCACACGACAAGAGCAAGGGCAGAGAATGACAAATAGCTTTTGAGGACACTTCCCCGGAAAGAAAAGCTTGAATCGCCACTTTGGTTTCCTTGCTTTTTAAGTCCAGCGAACGGCCATGGAGACTTGTAATTGGGGCCATTACATAATGAGATCTTCTAAGGCGGAGGAGTTTACGATTTAAGTCAACACGTTTGGAGGTCGTGGAGACATTGAGATGGAGTATTGTGCCAATATAAATACTTTGATATTAAGAAACATCGCTGCTTGGGCAAATGGCAATGGCAGCATGCTAATGAACTCCGACTGGACCAGGATGTTTTATTCCCTACTAGCAGTGACTAGTTAGCTAGCTAGCTACCAGTACTCTAGTAGCTAGCAGACGAACACCATAACATGTGAGAAATGATTGGAGGCGGCATGTTTTCTACCTAGACATGAGCCACCAGGATCAGGTCTACTGCGAGACAGCCAATAGGATGCTATTCTGGGTCTTTCTCAGGTCAGCCAACTACAGTACTTTCTCATTTTTAAAAGTAAACCGAGTCGTTTCATCTCCTCGATCATGATGCTGTTTTTTGGGGAGGCAATTAATACTTACATTACTAGCTAGTATACCGGTAACCAACATTAGTCTACCTTCTGAAAAGCTTTGAAGGTACTTCTCCAGAGTACAGTAGTACCGGTACTATACATGTTCCAGGTCCGGTATTGCCATGCGGAGTACAGTGAATATGAATCTTATAAATAAGGTATAAGCATGGCATTTATGAAGGGAATTGTGTGAATGAACTGGCACATACAGGTTCAGAAACAGATGGCTGCACGAAGACGCGAAGGCTGCCATTATTTATTTTGTACCACTGTGCACTGTGCAGATACTGTGCACTGTTTCCTTTTGTTTTTTAGTCGTCCGAGTACCGTATCTGGCACTCTGCTCTGACGCTCTGACTACGGTAACTAACTAAAGACTGGCAGAGTCTTTCTTGCCTTCTGGTGCAAGATGAACTTGCAACTCGCAACAACGAATGGTCAAATCCTCGTGACCCTTTCAGCACCGGTTCGCCGTTGTTCGGCAACAGGAAGGCAACGGTGCGCAATTAATGATTGTCTCATTAGCTGAAAAGACGTCTATCAAAACAACATATCAAAACCAAATCAAAACCATGAGGCACAGTACCAGTAATGAAGGCCCTGCTTCGGGGCAGATCGTTAGTTTCCCCACCGATGCTTCACTGAACGACTCTTGAGCTCCTTGGGATCGTTCATGTCGTTTGAAGACGAATCGGAGCACTTCTCTGTTGAGATCCAGGTCGAGTTTGAGGTGGATATGCAAGCAATTCCTAGACTAGGGCCCATCAAGAAGCGATCCAGACCTCGATCTTATGGCCACCGGGATCCCCACCACCCCCGTCTCCATGGGCGGAAGCCCGCTCTCTCGCACTCATTCTTCTCCTGACCTGGCAGAAGGAGCAAGTCCCAGAGTAGCTCTTCCGTCCAGATGGAGGAGCAAGAGTTGTGAATCCAGTCCTGCCGCTCCGCAACGATCCTCACGAAGACTCATGGGGGGCAACGGCAGAGCTCGCCCCACCATTGCCACTGGCAAGGATGCGACGAGCGACAGTCTTGATTGTGGCAGCGCTCACAGCGCCACCAGCCTTAAGCTCAAGAGTCTCTTGCAACAACAGCAACTGCTTCCTCACGGTGGGCTCCCGATGAATCCACAGGGCGGCAACAACCAGAACAACAACAGTAGCATCAGTGGAAGGTGGCAAGATTCGGTTGCCACCTGTAATGAAAGCGTGTCTCGTTGGAGTACTTCGTTTACATCCTCGCAAATGGATCAACTCTCCACGAAACCACGATTTCCACGCCGCAAGACTAGCGGGCTCATTGTGGGAGGAACCATGGTGAATACCGACAACGTCAAGGCAGCCGCTGGCAAGAACACAGAGTGGCAGAGCAACAGCAGGCAGTCAAAACATGTTTCACAACAGCAGTGGTGGTAGTCAATGGGATTTGACAGATACCACAGCCACAGAGACGGCTTCCTTTGCCACTGGACGGGCGACAACGGGGTCGTCCGCCATTGAAGACTTTTCCACGGAGAGTGCTGGCTCTAGATCCACAAATAAGGTTGAGGTGGACTTTGGCAGCTTTGTGCCCAGCACCCCCGAAGCCCCGTCTGCTGCTGTCCCCAGGACCAACCAGACCCAGGCCTCAACTGCCAAACCGTCAAAAGAGTTTCCGAAGGGGCATGAGTATGGCATTGGTCGCCAAGGCGGCTTTTGTCAACAGAAGAGCCAAGTTTGTCAAGCAAAGGAGTGAACCTTCACTACCGGATCGACAAGCGAGTGATTTGACATTGACATCCAGGGCGTCATCCTGTATATCCGAGGACGACACGACTGCTTCCGGTTCCGACCAGAAGAAGTCTAGCTATCGAAGGCAGCGGTCCATGCCCTTGCCATACGCTAGGATCTCGACGAAATCTGAGGAGAAACCAGTTGTCAAGACAAGCGCTCCTGCACCACTTTGGTGCAAACGTATGGGCTAGCAGACCTTCGAAAGCAAAAGAGTCTCTCCTGCCTTTCCTCGATGTCCTCATCTTCCCGAACGACAGGTTAGGAAACGTCACATTGCTGGGCGACCAAGTCGTGACAGAGGCACCAACACTGGGGCCCTCCAAAAGCAAAAGTCACTGTCGCATCTTGCACTGACTTTACCGCGGCGGCTACCAAGCGAAGCATCACTCAGGTCTCTGAACCCCGGCGAAAGTGACAGCCCTGAAGAAGCATCCGACAGCAGCTCTTACGAGGGCCTATTGGACTGTTCCACCAGAGTAGTTCTTGCTGGTCCGCCTTCACCACCCAAAAGACAAGTCAGCCGAGAGTTTAGCGGCCACAGCAAAAGTAGTAGCCATTCGAAGACAACAACAACTCGTCTTACAAATATGAATAGTACTCCCAAGGTGCCGCAGGTCCTGGACGATACCAATCGTCATAACGGCAGAAAACCGACGCCTGTCTTTGACCAAGCAATGGAGCGAGCCAAATGCTTTGTCTCTCAAGAAGCTCATGTTGGAGACTCGGGAGCCGCCAGCATCGGATTGCCGGTCTCTGGATTCTCTGCTCTTGCTCGAACGACCGAATAAACGACAGGCGTTACTGGCATCATGGGGACAAGGGGACCCACATGACGCCTCAACACCCGACTTGATTGCGGAGTGCGGGCGACTATTCCTGCCACTGGCGCAACATCGGTTGCCCCCAGAACGGTCTTGCTCTTGTTCTGGAGGTTCAGCCTAGCAAATAGCTAATATTTCAGCTCAAGATATTTTTTCTTCCTTCTTGCCTTCACATGCTAGTGCTAGAGTACGCGCGAGCCTGTTGCTTTCCGTTCCGCCTCTAGTGCTTGGCTTCGTGTTCTCCCGCTTGTGTAACCCGCATCATTGCAAATGTGAGCCTGTTGCCTTCCATTCCTCCGATAGTGCTCGGCTTATTGTTGCCCCGATTGCGTAGCCTGCCTCATCGAACCACCAACCAGCCTCATCGCTACTGGCTGGTTCGATGCTGCCCACAATACTAAGGTTGCATCGTTGGCCTTGAATTTGTCAACTCCCTTTCCTCGTGCTTTCCAAAACCCACGGAATGGTTGAATTAATTGCTTTCCTCGTGCTTTGCAAAGCCACTGATGGCGAGTTGTGGACCTGAGATGGTTTGAGAGCAGCAGAACCTTCAGATCGTGATGGCACCGGTACTGGTTGCGCTAGGTACATGTACCTAGCTAGTAGTCTACTGGGTAGTCCACCGGTACACGTACCAGGTACCAGTGCGAGACGATCATGGGTGGGTGCACCACCGGTAAGCAGAAGCGACGTGTCCGGTTGGCACGGGTCCCGGCACAGTATTTACCGGTAGGTAACTCTGCTGCATTACATGTACACACTCATGTCAGAACCCATTTCAGTTCAGAGAATGAATGAGAATGTTATTTGTTACGATGGTAACCTAGCGAGCTACTAGCTAGTGCTAGTACCTGGTAGAATCCATCAGCTTTTTGTTAGTGGATCGCCTTTGGATTGAGTTGGTTGGGCTGAAGCAATCTGATTGTTGAAGTTTTGTTTCCGATTGGCTCCCAAGGACGATTTACACTGCACTCAACGATCAAGAAGCAATCCATGCACCAGATGGTATTCATTGGCACTTGCTGCAACATCAAACCAACCGCCAAGGCAGTGTCACCAAATCATGTCCTTCTCCAAAGTCACCTGATCCGCTGTATGAATGGCTGGATTCCCGAAAAATAAAAATGCTCCCTCCGGTGTATTGCATGCAATCAGGTCAATCACCGACGCCTGCGTTCCAATTGATCATATCTTGAACGAATAAATCAGGAAGCTCGATTTGATGGTGTGTCATGGCTATCATCAGTTTATCTACTGGTAGCTATTTTAATTAATAGGAAGCTAGAATGATTGAAAGTTGACCTGCCCCTACCGTACTGGTACCAGTAGCAGGCATCAGACCCTGCAGTCGTACCGGTACGGTTGTCACTTCAAGCTTCGACAAGTTTCATGTCATAGAGTGCTGCTGGCTTATTTGCCCAGTATCGCCAAGGCTGACGAAGGCCAGACGATACCAGCAGCAAAACGCTGAAGAGTAAACTCCAGCAGCTTCTCCCATGGCACACAAGCAACTTGTTGACCCCGTCCATCAAAGGTGAACGCTGCGAAGGTGAGATGACCTCGAGCCTCTTTGGAGTTGATGTTTGATTCACGTGTATGGACACAAGATAGATGATTGATGATGTTCTGAGTTTCGTCCAGAACCTTGTGGAAAGTAGAAACCAACTCACAAATAAATGTCGTCTTCCTTTGCTCGATCGGGTCTCTCTTTGCCTTTCCCTTCGAATCTTTTGACACCATGGTGATCGTCTCTGTGTGTGATGCGATGGGCTCATGGCGGTGCTGTTTCCTGTGGACAAGCAGAGCAGAATTATTGCCTCAAATTCGGAACAAACACTGCAAAGTCAATTAATTGATGCACCATGAGCGATACTGTGGACATTCCGTTGCCCACAGAAACAGACAATCTTTTGAATATTCGAGATGTGGATGCGCCTCCCGTACCCGTGCCAGCACCGGCAGTGGATATGAAT